CGTTCGTGGTCGCCGACGTGCTGTTCGCGACCCCAGTCCCCGCGAAGGTTCCGAAGGACTACTTCCAGGTGACGATCGGGGCTAGCGGTGTGATTATAGCAGCACCATTGCGGGACCCCTCCGGTACCTCAGACTCGGAGCAGACCCTCTTCCGGCTGTATCTCGGCGTGCCCCCCAATCCGCCGCGCTCTCCCGACGCCGCCTACCTCCAAGCCATCCTGGACACCCAAGGGCCGGGTTCGCATCCGACACCGCATCGCACCCCGCAGATCACCAAAGTGCTGGACAGCGCGCGGTACCGCACGCGGTCCGAGCTCGCTGAGCGGTACGTGCAGCGTGCGGGGGGCGGGGCGTACATTCTGCTTGTCGGCGATGCGGCGCATAAACATAGCCCCGCGGGCGGGCAAGGGATGAACCTGGGGATCTGCGACGGCTGCGAGCTCGCGCAGGCGATCGACGAGCACCGCGACGCCGGCGCTGGGAAGTCCCACAGCGGGGATACTGGGATTATGGATGTCTACTCTGCGCGTCGGCGCGCCGTCGCCCGCAAAGTCATCGACATGACCGATGGCATGGCTGCAATCGAGAACGGGGGCACAGGCTGGGGAACGTATTTTCGTGCCTGTGCCGCGTGGATGTTCTTCAAGATGCCCTTCGTAAACGGTCTGATGGCGTGGAATGTCAGTGGGCTCGGCCATGCAACGAAACCGCAAGGTACTCGTCTAACTAGTGGTCAAATGCTCATGCCACGATGATCGCTCTATTATAGTTCGAAAGCGAGGATAATAGGCGCCGTTGTGCAAGATTCCAAATCGCAGCCGAAATGTAGTCTCTTCTTTGCCCTGTATCAAGATCGAGTCCCTTTTCAAGGGTATCGCCTTCTACCTTTCGAAATCCCCCTTCACTGCGTTTCGTGCGCATCTAAAGCTTCATGCATGTGAATCTTACAAAAATACAATGTTATTACACAACAACTAACCATCGTCCACCTCCCCTTCGAGTTCCAGGCGCTGTATACACAGCTCCGCCACCGCTTCCCCGTCGATCGGTATCGAGTTCCCTGCAAACTTTTAGCGAACCTCGCAGGTGATCAAAGGATGCGATAAACCTTGAAAGCCCTCGGGATACGACGGTAGCGGAAGGTCTGGACTCGTGAAAGCCCTGCGAACATGAGGTCATCTAGATCTGGGATGTGTCCCAAAGCTCGCGAGCTTGCTAGCCTCGCGGTGCCCCATTGCGTGGAAATCCAATTCGAGGGTGTGCGAAGTCCGCCCCCGTACGTTGCCTTGCCCTCATGGAGCGGCTGCGCTGCGGACCGGGGCCAGTTTAAGAGTAAACAGGAAACTTATAAGCCGCCTGGCAGAAGTGAACAGTACAGAGGTCTTAAAATCTGACATAACGGCTGTTTGGATGGGCTATATCGTGTGGTGTCTGTGAATATACATTTGCAGTTACGGCTTACACCGCGCGATTCCGTGTGCCTTACATGCGCGTGCGCAATCTGGGTATCAACCCAGGAGCGGTGAGCAACTAAAAAGGCATTCAAGCAGCCGTTTTCTTGCTGTAAAAATTAAAATTTGTATGGCCGGTTTCGTGCATGACTCTCGACCGTTAACACGAACCCTGATAATCCTCTCGGTGGTGTGACTCTGTGATAAGACACGTCGAACAGCGGTCCTGGCGCGCTGCTTGCACCATTCTTGCGGTGCTCATGAAATTGCAGCGGCATCTCACATTGAGTTTTACGAGTGCATGTCAATGAGATTGAAAGGTAGTTACAAGATGCAGGCCTTGGCGCCGCAGTTCCTCGATTCTACCCATGAAATTTAGATCCGCAGTAGACGTGTCTGATTGTACAAGCTCCACTAGTGACCAGCGGGCAACGGCAGGCGGTACTGAACGTGACGCCAGCTCGGCATCCGTCCACCACCTGGAGGCAATCATATCTGCCAGAGCATCCAGTGTAAACCCCCCAAATCCAGACAACACGTCTATGATCAACTCGCGCAAGGACGGCACCAGGTATTCGGCGTCGTGTTTGTAGGAAAGAGTATGTAGGGAGGTGTCGTCGATGCAGCTCGGACAATAGTACAGCTTCAGCCGGGTGAGGAACGGTGATTGGCGCAGGGCCGCGCGGAGGTTGTTCGGTGTGACATCCGCCCAGGTGAGCTCGAGCTGGGTGATGTTTGGCGACCGCCGCTGGAAAGCTGTGAAGCGGGCTTCCACCCACGGCATCGCTTCGGGTTCCATGCCTGCTACACACAGATCCTCCAAAGCAGAGGCATCGATACTGTCCAAGAACACGATTAAAGGGTTGCGAGAGGGGGTTGCTCCATAGGATACGAACCCCAGTGTCAGAGCACGCAGATGGTTCAGTGCGATCATCCCCGTTCTGGGTGGAGGAGGCACGGACCACGCTGCGGCGTTAACTGACGCCGTTTCAAGACTCGGACACTGCGCGAGCATTTGCAGAGAGATATGGGGCGAGTCTCTGCCCGTCAGGACGAGGTGAGTGAGTTGACTCCAGGGCATGGGAATCTCGCAGTTGGCTGGCATTGTCAATTTCCGAAGGCGAGGGGCCCTAGTGCTAAAGGCCGATGTGATCGTAGGGTCGGGCTCGGCGGAGGAAACCTGGATTCTGTCGAATTTCAGCTCTTCCAGGCTGGCTAAACTGCCTTCTGCGAGCCGTCTGATAAACGAGGGCGGTACGTGGAAGATACGGAGCGCGCGCCATCGGGGAGCGATCGTCAACAACTCGGCCGTTACACGCGGGCAGATTTTTATAGACATCCCAAACCGCATGCCTGTCAAGGTGAGGGGAATGGCGAGTGGTGCCGAGCGCGCGAACCAGGTCCGCAAACCCTCTGTATAGGCATCCACCAGTTCCCAGGTACCGCGCTGATAATTGATGTCGAGGGGCCCAGCCCATAGTGCCGGGGTGCCGATTGCGACCTCTCTCCAATACGAGCAGATGTGCGAGATGCGAAAGGCGTCCGAGATGTGTAGAGACCGATGCAAACGACTGACGCGGATGGTATACATAAAAATTTCCACCAGTAGCTCAACCGGGAGAGTGTCGATGGGCGCTATGAGGCCTTGGAGAGGAACGACGGGTATATGCTCCTGGTCAGGCAATTCGATGTATGCTGATTCGGCGGGGGCCGCCATGATTGAGCTTATTCAATGGTTCGGTGAACGCTGACTTGGAGCGCCTGCGTGTTATCTCGATGAACGCGGGTATCGTCGCTGAGTCCTAGGATCTGACTCGAAGTGACGGCGGGAGGTTACTTTTCGGGCGATGTAAGTACACAAAGCGGCGGCGTCAAAGCCTGCGTGAGATAAGTGCTTACGCCGCCACAAATTTGTCATCCATTATTCCCAACTTGGACTTATCCTGCTGTTGGACCACGCTCAAGCAGCACTTGGCTGCCCCCTCAGGACCATGGAAGATGCATCGCTGCAGAACGGGGAACCCACAGCCCTCATCTCCCGTACTACTTTCTTTGCCACCCTCCCTGCCGGGGCCACACCTGTCCATCGGCTTCCGCCCGAGATTTTGACGCGAATATTTCCCCTGTGCGCATCGTACGACGATCCGGTCAGAAACCCCTCTGTTTGGATGGACAGTAGCGCGGAAAGACAACTAGAGCGACTGGCCCAGAAGCATCTGCTCGATTTGGCGGGTGTTTGTTCTCAGTGGCTCGCGTTGGTCATGGGCACACCGTCGTTGTGGAGGTCTGTTGAAGTTGACTGCAGCAGGTGGTCGTCGCGACACACAGATATCCTTGCCGAAGTGCTTCAGCGCTCCGGAGCAACACCGCTCAGGGTTTTTCTTCGGCATGTCGAATACGCGCGTCACAGCAGGGCGTTGCATCTGTTGGTGGCGAATTCTGCCCGGTGGGAGGAAGCCAATCTGGCGCTAAATGAGCTGGGCGTGGATATCGTATCCGCTGTTGCAGGCAATCTTCCACAGCTGAAGCTTCTGCGCATAACTTCACCGGGATTCGATGGTTTCGAAACGGCCCCGCTTCTCACAGAACTATGCGTGTGGACGGCAGATATCCCGGTAATTCAATGGAACCAGCTCAAAATCCTCGAACTTTTGGGCTTGCGGACGCTTTATGGAGTACTCGAACTCGAAGTCTTCCCCCGTTGCTCAATGCTCATTGAGTTGATCGTCGTCATCAGCAGCAATCGAACTTACACCCTACCTTCTGACGATGAAGCTCTGACCTGCGACACGGTGGAGACCTTTACACTTAGTGGTTGCACCGAGGACCCTAATGGCTACGCCGCCCGGCTTCTCGAGGGCCTGCTCTCGATTTTAACCTTGTCTTCGCTACAGACACTCTACCTCTTTCCTACGGTAGCTCCATGGCAACAGGAGGCTTTTCTCGGCTTTTCTCGACGATCGCTATTGAGCAACACGCTGAAGTTCCTCGAATTTCGCGGCATCAACATCGATGCAGTCGACCTCGTGGAAATTCTGGCTGAACTCCCCTCACTGTGCAAACTGCGGCTCAGTCGCGTCGCCGCGTCCACTGATTGTGAGATGAACGATCATCTGCTACGTTCATTAACAAAAACGGCCGATTCCTTCATTGTCCCGTCCCTCATCGAAATCTCCTTGCACTCACATGCGCCATTCGCCGAGAAAGTTTTGATCAATTTTGCTACCTCGCGCTGGGAGAATCCCGCGCGCGAGGTGCAGTTCAACATATTTCTTTGGATCGCTGCCACAGTGCCCGACATCAAGCCCGCGACGGTTGCGGAGCTGCAGGCGGTGGCGACGGCGCACAAGTGTAATTTCTCGTACCGAAAACTCCAGTGGGATTGAGGGTAGCCATATCATTGCGCGGAAGAACATTTTTTTAGAGCCGCATACAAAGTGACCAGAAAATCAAATGTGACCGAGGTTTCTAAGTATGTACAACTTGGGTTTTTCCCCATGAGTTGCAGTGATAAAAACATCTAAATTCAGGATCTCCACTCATGAACGCGGTTGCGTAGTGTAGCGGTTATCACTCCAGATTCTGACGAGTTGACCCAGAAATCTTCTGGCAACCCCGGTTCGATTCCGGGCGCGACCTGGCAGAGAGCTACAGCTCCTTTTGGCCCATCGAGCAGTACATACCACAGTCCTCTAGATCTATTGCCGATTTTGTCGACTTTTTGCATGTAACGTTGATGTAACGTGTCCACTTTTCCGCGGGAACAAAGAAATGATGACGTACATAGCGGTACTTGACTGACTGTTTGAATCTACCGGCACTGACTGTTTGAATGTACCGGCTCAAGCATAATTTAAATGCATGGATACAAGTAAGTGGGTCGCTTGCACTCTTGAAAGACCGAAGACGGAGAATACCCGCGCGGAAGGAACGAGAGTAAGTATGCTGCCATTATTATGGTCACCACAATGAAACAAGCAGGAGTAAGCATCCTGAGAGCTTTCCATACCTCGCCATGTTACTAATTTGATTCGAATTCACTGTGCTTGAAGTAATGCGACCTGGGAGTAGGATATGACGGGGTGGGCGGAACGAAGGACGAGAACACCGAGTGGTGATGTGGAAGTCCCGGGGAAGTAAGATGTCTGACGGGCCTCTCGGTAAGAAGATAGAGGAAGTGAAACAGGCGGCTGACGAGGAAGAAGATCAAGCTGGCTGACAGAATGCATATGAGCAGTAGTTGGAAGAACAATGAGCGGAGGGGAGGGATGACGCGGATAAGTAGATAGGAAGTATTGGCAGGGATGAATGGAGGCAGCAATGGCGAAGGTGCGGAATAAGAAAGCTCGAGGTATTATTTCCGAAGGGAAAAGGAGGGAAAATTTTACGCAGGCGGACACCAAAGCTCTGTGCTGAGAGGGAGGCCAAGGTGGCTGGCGTGCAAGTTGCGGGGCTACACAGTACTTGGAAGCACGGATAAGGTGGATAGGCACGGAGAATAGGCATGCTGTGGCTGACGCCAGACTCGGGAGGAGAGATGGATTGCTGGACTCGTGGCTGCCATCTGGACTCGGAAGAAGGCTTGGATGGTGCGCCTTGGCCGGTACCAGGAACTTGGAGTGTACTCCGGTCAATATTCCCAGTGAGAAACCCTTCTGGGCTGCTATGCTCAAAACTGCTCAAATATGGTTCTTTCGAAAAACCCATATCCCAGCATATCTGAGCGCCTCCCAGCACCTTTTCTGGACTTTTTTCGAAACTTCGTCTGCTCCGATATGCTTTGTTATGGGCAGGTATGCTTAGAACCGCTCAAAGATGCTACTTTCTGTCTCTTGTACTCCGTTGTTATAACCGTGAATATATATATTGCATTTCTACATATATACTACACATTTGAATCGACTACAAACGTCGCGCATCGAGCGTCGAGCGCCAAGTCCCGTCACGGTGGTGCCCCATCCGTTGCCCCTGTCTTCGCACCGACAGCCCCTGTACGGCCCGATGAAGAGACGACGGACGGTAGGGAGGGTAGAAACGGCGGCGGTGGATGGCGAAAGCTGCGATAGTTGAGCGAGCGGCGAGGTAAGCGAGAGCGCGCCGAAGTGTCGTTGGAGGCGGCGGCAACGAGGAACACCATTGACCTGTACAGAACACGTCGCATCGTCAGCGCACCCCCTGGAAAGAACGACGGGATAATGTACCTAATGCACGCACGCAGTCCGCAGTTGGCGTCCTTGTCGTGGTCGAGTGACTAGAAACATCCCTATAGAACGGGTGAAACAATGTGCGCGCACTGTCTGCATGTCCACAGCGAACGTGAAAACCGAGAACACGTGAGAGGGATTCAGGTGGGGGTGGCGAGAACTCGCCTTTGGGACCTGTTCAATCGTTCACAGTCGGGGTGTTGCGCGCAGTCTCCGTGATCGTCGACGGACAGCATCCATTCCTGAGGCAAGAACATCAGCAATCACACCAATAAAACAGTGTTGACGATGGGGAGGATGGGAGTAGCGGACGGCGAAGCCGAAGGGGAGGTGAGTGAAGAGACAATTGAAGCGGAGGAAGGGGAGGTGTAGATGAAAGGGACGTTGAGCACACGCACCTGCATGATTCCTTGTTTGCATTATTTTGCTCCATCTACGGCTGCTCCCTCCCTCCCGCCGTCGAGTATGATACACCGTGGATGGAACTGTTCCGCTGCTCCCCCGCACTGGACCTGTACATGGGCAAAATCAGGGTCAGATAAACAAGAAATGGTAACAGCGCAGCTGGGGGGTCTCTGCACGCTCCACGACGAGTCTTGTTGGATATTTGAGTACCTAGGGGGTTGAATTGAGGACATTTCTGAAGGGTTTCGAGCACCTCGAAGACCCTGAAGGAACTACTGCCGACTGACGCGTCGATATTGGTAAAATTTATCTTGGGCCGTTGGAGCGTCGTCCGTTGGATAAAACCCTCCAGAACACGGGGAGATGATACGGAGATGGTCTGGAGAGGTATTATGGACGTTCCGGGGGCTAGAGGCGGCGGCGATGCAGGGCGATGGACGCGACGATGAAGGGAGAGGACAAGATGGATAGCCTCACGTGGTGTTGTCAATATAAACAAACAAGACGGCAAGCCCCGTTTTCAGTCTGCGTTCTGGCTTGGCCCAAAAATCGAAAAAGGACTTCTAGGTTAAATGCTATTCAAAAATAACGAAGACGAGGAATTTTTTCGACGATTGGATCATTTCGGGAAGTTGATCTGTTGAGCACTGATTTGCCCCAGTTGGACCATATCTGCGCAGGTTTGAGCATACCTGCCCAGACGGGTTTCTCACTGGGGGTCAATGCTTGAGAGGCAAATGAGAGACGCTGGCTGAAACTTGAGGAAGCCGCATGTGTTCGTTCTCGAAGGAACGAAAAACCGCACACGCGTCGTCGCGCGAGGAAGGGCGAACAGCACACACACAGCCACATGCGATCTTCTTCCAAAACTGTCAAAACAGTCCAAAACCTACTACTCCGGCTTCAAGCCTCAACTTGAAGTTTCAACCACCGCACCTCGTTCGACCCATGATCCACGTCCTTCCTCCCTAGAAGCCTGACTAGAATTTCCCGACCCGCTGGCCGTAGGCGGAAAGTTCGGCGGAGACACAAAATGGCCGTGGCGAGGCGGACAGTGAGCGCTGTGTTTCAGGCGTATCCCGCAAATTGGTGGAGACACAAAGGCACGAAAATGCCACACGGTCATGTTCTCTCCCAGTGCTGCTAACCCCACCGTCCTCAAAGCAATTAAATATGTTCTCGTCGACCGGGCACGCGTTCGCACCTGTCAGCCACAGCTTGTGGACGATGACCATCATCTGACGGCGCAGGGAGAGGGTCGCGCGTGCACTGGACGACAGACGACGGAGTTGTGTTGAGGTCCTCCCTTAAACAAGTCAGCCGCACCTTACGGCTCTTGCTTGTCTTCCTCGTGTCAGCCTCCGGTTTCTCTTGCTTTCTCCCTATCTTGTGTCAGACCCCGTCTCTTGTCTCTCTGCGCGACAGCCACTTCTATGCCAGCCACTCGCCTCTCAGGAGCCTTTCCATGTACCCATTTTTAATACAACACAATTAGCTCTGCGAAACCTGTCTTCTGGATTCCTCATTCACTTCTGCCGCATCCTCTAGTGTCGTATCCTTGTCGAGGTTCGATTTTTCGCCGAACCAAGGCGAATATCTGTCATCACATACCTCCCTCATCCGTCCCAACCATGAGCTAGTTTCCATTTGCGAAAACAGGGCTTGTTTCGAGCCAAGCATTTGCAACAGCGTGATCATCCTCAACGCTCAGCGCTCAGCCTTGAGGTTCATAATCCACGGTCAGGTGCCTTTTCTAAAGCGTGACGCTTTGTAAGACCTTTTCTTACTACTGTCCAACTATCGTCCGACCGGCGAGGAGTTTCCCCACTTGGTGAGTGTTACCCACACAGAATTGGGTAATAGACGGTAAGGAATTTTTCAATTGGCTACATTTCTGCTATCTCCGTCCGGTCGACCCATATAAAACGGCTCGCGACTCGCGACGGCGATTGCTCGTCCCTTGCTCCCTCCGCGCACAATGGATACCGGCAATACGAAAGAATGCTCCCCTAGCGTGCGCAACAAAGATGGCTCCCTCAACAAGATGAGAGCGCACCGAGGGAACATACCGATGCTACCACAAATTATTGCCTGTCCCCAATGTTCTGCTCGCTTCACGCGCTCAACTCACCTCACAAGGTTTTTTCCTCTCTTGCATGCGAGGCGCATCTGATCAATCCTGTTTGTAGACACATGAAGAACCACACAAACGAGCGCCGTTATAAGTGCCCAGTGAGTTATGCCGACTTCCGTTCGTGGCTAGTGTTTCAGCTTGTCCCTCAGACGTGTCATCTAGCTCAATTCACGCGCAGTGACTTGCTGGCCAGACACAGAAGGATCTGCGAGGATCCTAATCGACCGATGCGACTTCGATGCTGCATACTATGCACGGAGTCCAAGGTCAAATGTGATCGCAATGACCCGTGTTCCAGGTGCAAATCTCGAGGTCGGGACTGCTTATACCCCATCGCTTTAAGAAAGAAGCCTCCGCCACAGCTCGGTGCGGAAAAAACTTTTCTCCCTTCTGAAGCGGAGAGCACCTCGGAAATGGTCCCTCTTGCTTCTCTCTCCACCGCGGATCCCTCTTCTGCCCTGGTCAGCAGTCATCTGTCGGCAGGTTATAACGATTCTTTTCAATCGTTATTCAACGACGTCTTCTCATTGACGTCGTTGGATGATCTACTTCCGTTGCCGGAGGAACTACCACTCCAGAGTGGCCGGGTTACATCTCGGTTCCAAGAAACGATTCCTCGTTATTCATTCCCACAGGCAGAAAACTTTTCATCGCCTAACGAGATTTTCGGCCGCGAATCAAAAGTAGTGGACCTCAACCATTACCGTACGTTACCAATCCCGTATTTCCGCAGATATCAACGATGGATGTGCAGTGTATCTCTTTTTCAACGCGTTTTCGACGCAAATGTTAGTTGCAACATTGATTTTTTTGGTTCTTTTTGCTCACTTCGGACACAGCCCAATAGTACACTGTGCGACCTTCAATCTGGCAGGTATGTAGTTCTCTTAGGCGGA